CAGTTGCAAATGTTGTACAAAATAAATATCACCACTACTCATCTTTGCACCAATAAAACGTAAAAACGGTGTTTTTCTACCAAATTATATGTAATACCTAATTATTATATAAATATTTAACTCGACCTCTCGCGAGATCTCGGCAAAAAGTCTCACGATTTATTTCCAGAACATGATGCATGATGGGATACACTAAGCGCAGGAAGAAGATTTGGTGTTGATAGAGGAGGCAACCTCTTCAAGGCAAAACTTTAGACCTGATGCAACATCATCCAATGTTGCAATCACCCTCAGGAGGTACACAAGCAAAGCTAAATTGAACATTGTCAATTATCAATTCCTATTTTACAAAATTTGCCCTGCATACATTTTTGTCTTTAATGTGTAGGCACTTGAAGACCAGTGTCCACTATGCACAGGAACATTTCCAGTGTCAGAAGTAGAACTGCCATGCCAGCTTTTGTGGAGAAAGGTAATGGTAACAGTAACTCACATTGAAGCTTAAACAAACACCAGGAGTATGTATAGGAATGTATAGGAACTCTGCTTTACTGTTACTTTTCAATTTAATGTCTCCTAGACAAAAAAAAAGAATTATTATACTTACCACAAACTTACCATTTTGAATGGCAGTGCACCGTGGTTTACACAAAAACATGAAGCAGTACAACCATTTTCACCTTTGATAATAATAATAATAAATGTTTCTTGAGCAGCAAATCAACATATTAGAATGATTTGATCATGTCCTGCTGAGAAAATTCAGCTTTGCATCTCAAAAATAAGTTATATTTTAAAATAGTTAAATATAGTTCCTATAAATAGTTTCATAATATTAAATTATACTGCATTTTCAATAAAATAAATGCATCTTTGGTGAACATAAGAGGCTTCTTTCAAAAAAAATAAAAATTACAAAATCTTTTAACTGGATGTGTATAGAATGCAGGTCAATTTAATGCTAAAATATTACTTAAAAAATGACCTGTTGAAGGTGAACAGATTATCCATCAGTGGCGGGCCAAGCATGAAGAAAACTGTATGGAGGATTTGCTCCAAGGTGTTCTCCACTGACGTCGCCCGGCAACTGAACTGGTGCGGGAGGGGAGACAAGAGAGGGATCCGAAAATCAAACATCGGAGCACTCCTAATAGGTAAGTTCAACAATGTTGTACAAATACAAGCAATATAATTAATGGCGGAGCTGTCATTACAGTCAGTACAACTAAAATACAGGTTTCAAATTGGTCAAACATAATCTGACGTGGCATCAGCCATTATCAAAAATATTTAGAAATTATAATAACTTGTTAAAAACTTAAATGAGACTTAAAGGGATAGTTCACCCAAAAATGAAAATTTGATGTTTATCTGCTTACCCCCAGAACATCCAAGATGTAGGTGACTTTGTTTCTTCAGTAGAACACATATGATGATTTTTTACTTTAACCGTTGCAGTCTATCAGTCGTATAATGCATGGCAATGGTAACAAAATCTATGAGAGTAAAAAAAACATGCACAGACAAATCCAAATTAAACCCTGCGGCTCGTGACGACACATTGATGTCCTAAGACACGAAACGACCGGTTTGTGCCAGAAACCGAACAGTATTTATATCATTTTTTACCTCTAATACACCACTATGTCCAACTGTCTTTGGGCGCGCACAGCATCCGGTGCGTGAGGTGTGTACGCGCTCTGGCGTAGTTTACGCAAGCGCCGGAAGTGATCTCTCGCGCGTATATGTCACTCATTGTTTACACAGTGCACAAACATTGTAGGTACGACGGCTAATCAAAATGGTACTTACTTGCGCTTATCTGGATTGTTCAAACCGACTTAAAACTAAAAGATTACGTTCTCTCGCGCGAACTCATTCGGGAGTGGTGACTTTCCACGTATTCCCAACTTCTGAGCCTGCTCGCCTGAAGTTATGGTTGATTGCTCTTTGGCTGGATATCAACACACCCATTAACGTAAACTACGCCAGAGCGCGTACACACTCTACTGAAGAAACAAAGTCACCTACATCTTGGATGCCCTGGGGGTAAGCAGATAAACATCACATTTTCATTTTTGGATGAACTATCCCTTTAAAACATCAGTTAAACCCTTTAGAAATCCATTTGCCCAACCAAAACGCACGTGAAACAACTTATGGTATACTCGCTAGTTAACAAACAGGTGATAGTCATCATACACAACTTAATTTGGAAGTTATTATAAAACCGATCGCAGGCACAATACAATTAGTTTTAAAATATACATGTACCTTAAGCAAATCTTCCATTGCAACTAACCAAGACGTGTCTTCTGCACAGCACGGCACATGGTTAGGTTGAATAACGCGGGAAGAGCTTTGACGCACCCCAACTCACGTGCGTAGTTCCAACCGTAGTTCACGTGTGTCTTCTTCTTCTTGTTTTTTGGCAGTTGGCGAACCAGCTTTAGTTGTTCTTTATGCTAATTAGATAACTTTATCCGATTTATTCAGAAGAACCAGATAAAGAAAAAAAATATCTGACGTTAATTTCAATGTAAGTGGAAGCAGGTTGCTCGATCTTTTAAAATTTTTGTAATTGTTTCTTTTAACATACAGCTTCAGCTATGAGGAATCCCGTCCTTCTGTCTCCAACCAAAGCAGACGCGGAAAATTTATTAAAGATTTCCTACGCTTGGCCCCAGGGAGGATTTAACTTTTTATGTATTTGAATGTATGCCTGTATATATATGTTACAAATAGTGTTTTGTTGTTTGCATGAACTGTTATCGTGTTTTTGTATGAATCAAATGTTTTCTTTGCCTGTTATTAAATGTATATTTTTTTTATAAAATTAACTAATGTGTGTTCTATTAGTTGAGAGTGTGGTTTATTTATTGATTATCATGTTTGGTAATTGTAACATGCATGAGGGAGGATTATTATAGATATCGCGAGGGTATTTTATTAAAATAATGGGAGGGGGAAGTTTTAATAAAACGACGTCTGGCCTACATCAATCAGACATCTTGCAGACGTATGAACATCTGATTAACATCGTTTAAAGAGCGGATCCTAGATGTTCTAAATTATTTACGTCTGGAATACATAGGCTAGGCGTCATCTTAATAGCTGGCAGGGACATCTCGGCAACGTATGCCAGATGAGCAAACGCCCTAAAATATACATCTGCCAGACGCAAAAGACGACATCGCACAGACGTCTCCGCGACGTGCGTGTGCTATTTGGGTAGTTACTGATTCGATGGGCCATGAGCTCAAATCTGCCAAAAGACTGAAAAAAGAGTGAAAACAACTGTCAAAATAAGATCTGTTTCGACCTCACTCTGACCGTCACTACGGTCTTAATAGAATTATAACCTTCTTTCCGCCTTCTCGCGAGACCTTTTGTAAACAAAGTTATGCCCATGACCCTGGAGGCGGAGCTTCCCGCACTATAAAAGCGGGATGAACTTCCGGCTCATTCTCTTATCTTTCTCGCCTCAAGAGACCAGGTACAGGTAGGAAAACAGAATTAAATTGATTATCCACCATTCAATTAATCATTCAGGTGCCTTGTGTCCCTGTGAATTGTGGTGGTTATATGGCATTATTGCTACATGGTAGTATCTCCATTGCATTGTTTTGTAGCTAGCTAGTATGCTAAGCTACGCAGTGTTTGTCAGAGAAGGAACGGAGGACTCAAATGCAGTTCAAACCAAAAGAGACTTTATTCTGAACACCAAGCCAGCAAAGGCGTGAAACACAAAAGTCAGGGGAATGCAGTGGTGTGGCGCTCCCTGCGCACACATTCACCAAGACAGAGGGCTGAGAGGAATACTGGAAACGTCCAGTGTTGTACTCCCAATCCGGCCTCACTGTCCACAACCGAAATATTAATTCCTCGCCTGAGGATCCTGGAAATATTGCAGAGTATAGAGGAGAGTGAAAACTCAAAACACGCCCCTTACGGCACAAAAACACATAAGACATACCCACGCTGAAAGAAGACAAAGACAGGAATATATAGGAAGTGGGAACGAGTACCAGGTGCGGGCTAATAGAGTGAGTGCTGATTGCTCCACCACGTGTGGATGAAAATGACAGGACCAAAACAACCGCCACGTGCAAATGACAATGACAGCGCACAGGTGAGTGGCAGAAAGGAGTCGGAGAAGGTACCGGTACTGACAGAATCCCCCCCCTCAGGGATGCCTCCTGGCATCTCCGGAAGACTCACCATGACACCAATGGAATTGGTCTATGAGAGCGCGGTCCAGTATGTCACGAGCCAGAATCCAGCATCTCTCCTCCGGACCATAACCCTCCCAGTCTACCAGATATTGGTGACCCCTACCCTCCGCCTCACATCGAGGAGCCGTCGTACTGTGTAGGTGGGCGACCCCTCGATGAGTCTAGGAGGCAGAGGGGCCGAGGTCTGGGGTTGGAAGGGGGAGCGAATGACAGGCTTGATTCTGGATACATGAAACACGGGTGAACTCTCTTAAGCATGGGGGGTAACTTGAGTCAAACAGTCAAGCACTTTAGTCACGATGTACGGTCCAATGAATTTAGGTCCCAGTTTACGTGCGGGCAGTTTAATAGGAATGTTCAAAGTAGACAACCAGACCTTCTGACCGCAAACGTAAAGTGGGGGCTTAGAGCGGTGACGGTCCGCCGACACCTTGTTCCTTTCGCCAGTCCGGATAAGGGCTTGTCTGGTGAGCCTCCATGTCCGGAGGCATCTCTGAATAAACGCGTGCGCGGATGGAACAATGGCATCGGATTCTTGAGAGGGAAATAGTGGGGGTTGGTAGCCTAAACAGCACTGGAAGGGTGATAAACCCGTAGACGAGACTGGAAGGGAGTTATGTGCGTACTCGACCATGGCTAATTTGGAACTCCAAGTCAATGGTTCTGCTGACGCCACGCAACGCAGGACTCTCTCTAAGTCTTGATTAGCCCACTCGGACTGACCATTAGTCTGCGGATGGTAACCAGAGGATAAGCTCACTGTCGCCCCCAGTTGCCGACAGAATTCTGTCCAAAACTTGGATACAAATTGGGGACCCCTGTCAGAGACCACGTCCACCGGGAGGCCATGAATGCGGAAGACGTGTTCTAAGACAATGGCCGCTGTCTCCCTCGCTGAAGGTAATTTGGGGAGGAGAATGAAATGAACCGCCTTGAGAACCTGTCTACCACCGTGAGGACCACGGTGTTGCCATCAGACGGGGGTAGGCCTGTGACAAAGTCCATAGCAATGTGGGACCAGGGTCTCGAAGGGATAGGCAGCGGTCGGAGAAGCCCTACTGGGGGACGATTAGAGCCTTTACTCACCGCGCACCGCATGGATCAAAACTAAAAGCCAAACCGATAAAAACCAGTAACAAAACCAGGCAGGCCAACACGAACTCGCGAGCGTCCCGCGCCACCGACGGCCACCAAAACCGTTGCTTAATCAGCGAAATAGTATGAGCAGCTCCTGGGTGGCAAGCTAGTCCAGAAGAGTGGCCCCACTGAAGGATGCTGGTTCGAACTGACCTGGGCAGAAACAACAGACCCTCTGGGCATCGGGCGGGGATGGTGACGCCGTCTACCGCCTCGCGGACTCTGGATTCCACCTCCCAGGTGACCGCCGCAACCACTCGGCTGGGTGGCATGATGGGCGCCGGAGAGGTGGACTCAG